AAAAAAAATAAAAAAAAATAAAAAATTAAATAAATAAATAAAAAACCAATCAGCAGATAAAAACAGGGAAAAGAGCAAACACAAAAAAATTGTCATCTCCTATGTTGCTGGAGTGTCCAAAACATTTGATTTTTTTCCAAACACAACATACCGGTACATTTCAAACCCAGCAGAACCCTTCGACAGAGATTGGTCCATCCCAAAGACAAGACCCCAAAACCCAAGCTGAGCTGCGTYGTGTATGCAGTGCAATGCAACGAGGAATGTTGAGACCTTTATATTGGAGAAACTAAACAACTTCTCCACAGACGCATGACTCAACACCGTAGAGCCAGCATGTCAGATCAAGACTCAGCTGTCCACCTACACCTCAAGGACAAGGGARGCTCATTTGAGGACCAGAATGTTCACAMTTTGGACATAGAGGAAAGATGGTTAGAGAGAGGTGTAAAGGAAGCCACGTGAGTCAATGTTAAACAGAGGAGGAGGCCTCAGATTTCAACTATCAAAAACTTACAATGCAGTTTTAAACCAGATTCCCAGTCACCCTCAGGAATGTGACCAAAAACAGCTGACTCATCATACAGACAAAAAGACTAATGCTACGTTCACACCAAATGCGTTTTGAGCGGCCAAAAAGCACAAAACGCCTCTCGTTGGACGCACTATTTTCAGACCAAAGAACACACTAGTGTTCAGACCAGAACGAGAAGCAGCAGCAGCGGCTGCAGCGAGGTGTGGGAGGAGCGTGTCCTCGGTGGGCGAATAAAGATAAAATAAAAGAAAATGGCTTCGATGTATTTACTAACAAGACAGCCAACATTGAGCACAGCAGATAATTAACTCACCAGATCATTTAGAGGCGATTTGTTTGGTTAGTTTCGTCACTTCAGAAGCTGCCAGCTGACTGACTTTTTTTTGTCCAGAGCAGCTGATCCACATCGGTGCTGATATATCCTGCCAGAAATTCCAAATGCACACGGTCCATTTCAGGTAAAGATCTCCAGTCCGTCTGTTTTGGTTTTCAGTGGGAGACGCGTGGAACAGCGAAAAGTTCAGATATTTGAACTCTGGCGGCAGCTCTGGTGGCGGCTGCTTCCYCAGCACCGCATGCACGCAAAARGCTATGCGCTCCTTCCGCCTTCCTTGCGCACRYCCCAAAACYTACGRGACGTGACACACGACCCCTAGAGGCGCGTCCTCCATAGACTTTGCATGTAAACCAGCCGCTCCCGCAGATTAAAATGCGTTCGGTGTGAACGTAGCATTAGGAGGACACTTTGAAACAGGCAGATAGTTCACACCTTCAAGCATGTGACCAGAACACCTCTTTTGAGAGTCACCCAGGGCCTCCATTGTGAAGGACACRTGGCTCCAGTGTGATGTATGTGAATCCAAGTCCTCATATGGCTTCTCAGGTGGATCTATTAAAGCCAGCATCTCAGCTCACTACAGACTTTGAATTGAAAGAAGCCTCCTGGATGGGAAGTGAAACGTCTTCAAAAGTCCAGTTGTTTTTGTTTTTAACTCTTTTTTTGACTGATGAACAGGAAGTCCACAGTGTGATCTTACCAGTGACAGTCAGGTTGATGCTGTTACTGACTGCTGCAGAGCTGGACTCACACCAGTACACACCACTGTCCTTAGAGAGGACATAGTTGATATAACAGGAGGAACCAGCAGGTTTTCCCCATCCAGATCCACACTGAGTCCTGGTTCCTCTGGTTGTGTTTCTCCTCAGAGTCCGTCCAGCAGAGCTGTGGTCCTCCTCACACATCAGAGACACAGAGTCTCCAATAAAAAACTGAGAGCTGCTGGGACTCACAGTCAGACCTGCTGAGAGAACTGAAATGACAAAAGAATCAGTGACTAAATTAGGATTATTTTATGGCTGTCAAGTCAATCCAGAGTCAGTGTTTGATGTTAATGATTATTTAATAAAAGCAGCTGATTGTGTCACTTTGTTACAATTCTTGAGCCTGAGCACTTTGAACAGTCAGTCAAGCTAATAAAATAGAAAAGTGTGTTTTAATTATTCACACACACAACTTCAGTTTAGCGTTTAATTAAATAAAACAATCATTGCTCCCAGATATTACCCACTGCCTTTTTAAGTTTTAACTAAAGATTTAGTGTGATCTGTCAGAGCTCACATTATCTGCTGGGAATGACTCTCAGCTACTACCACACCACATG